AAGAGTTACTGCAGAAACTCCTCTGATGAGGAGACACTTTTATGAGCACCTGTGGTTTCCCATGCAAGGATTAAAAAACAACTTGAAATGAAAATCAACCCTGTTTGGTCAGGATATGCAGATATATAAGAATGTCCATCAATGGAAAAAAAAATGTTGTTGTACCAATGCTAACCAGCCAAACCCTGACACCTTGGATGTAACTTATTCTGTATAAATTAAATTAAATTAATGTTAAGTCATATTGAATTAAAGTGATAGTTCGCCCAAAAATAAAAATTTCATCTTCAATTTGTTCCAAACCTGTATGTGTTTGCTGAATACAAAAGAAGACATTTTGAAGAATGCAGCTAAACAAACAGTTGCTGGTAGCCATTGACTTCCATAGTATTTTATTTTTCTATGCTGTGTGGATATCAGTCATATTCAGTGCTTTGTGAATGCCAATTCATGTGGTCTTTAAAGATGAAGCTCTTGCTGTGCTTGAGGTATTGGAGGAGTTTTTTATGGAGGAGGGATTTATTTGTTTTGCATGTGTGTGTGGTTCAGTGGATCATGTGTTGGGGGTCAGAGACGTGCTTCCTGGCCCTCTGCTGCTCCCTTTGGCTGCTTGACATTTCAGAGCGACACCTGTTAGCCTGTGGGGTGTGGCACTGACTCTGATAACCGGGGGATAAAGTGTGTCAGTTTAGAGTTAACCTGTTTTAACACCTAACGTGAATGGCTAACACAAATTTTTAATGACAGCGGTGTTGTCAACTTCTCCAAGTATAAAGGGCATTTTCTCAGTATCGCTAAGTTCAGTAAATGATGGAATCAGTGCTTCAAATCTGGGGGGAAATGTTTCCCTCACATTGTGATATTTAGGACAAATCAGCAGGAAGTGTTTCTCCTCTATTTGCTGTAGATCACAGTGTCTACAGATCATGTGCTCTTGCTCTGATGTCTTCTTCTCTCTATTTCTAAATTATGGTTACTTAATCTGTATTTGGGGAGGATTTGTCTTACTTTAAATGGTTTAATTAATAGATAATTGACAAATTTAGTAGTTCTGTTTTCTCTCTCTCTCTTTCTTTTTCATTCTTTATTCTACTATGATAGTACTGTGTGTGTGTGTGTGTGTGTTCTGGTATATATGGTTTATGAGGACACAAATGTCGCAGTGTGATCACATGCCTGCAGGGTCCTGCGGAAACAAATTAGCATCAGCGTTAACAGCTGTGGTGGACTGCTGATTTTGTGTGCATGTGTGTGTGTTTGTGACCGGGGTCTCGCAGCACGTCTCTCTCACACACCACCTGTGCCCAGTTTCTCCCTGCGGTTTCACCAGATGAGCTTTGCTCTCATGGCAGGTCAGCGGCAGCCTGCTAGAGTCATGTTATTCAGATTGAACCTTTCTGAGCGGTTTGTTATTTGACTTCTTATGTGCGCACTGCACATTCCTTCCTGAACTATTGCAAAGAAAACAAGGAAGTTCCAGCTGTGATATTTTCAGTCTTTGCTATTTTATTATATATAAAACGGATAGCTGTTGAGTCAGTTGTCATGTTGTATTTAGAATAAAGCATGGCTATGACTGTTTCACCATACAGAACTTGCAGCTATGAATTGTTTTAGTCTTTGCTGATTTGTTATTTTATATTTCATAAAAAAAATATTTCCGATTCTTGATGCTGTTTGGTCAGTAGACATGTTTTATTTATGATAAAGCATGGCTTTATAATCTCTTCACAGAACAGAAGTTCTCATTTATATTATACTATATGGAATATTATTGGAATTTATTATGACTTTACAGTAGTAACAATAACTGTATTAAAGGGGTCATCGGAGGCGCATTTTCCACAAGTTGATATGATTCTTTAGGGTCTTAATGAAAAGTCTGTAACATAGTTTGGTTAAAATTTCTCAATGGTAGTGTAAAAAACAGTTTTTTTTTACCCTGTCGAAAACAGCTCTTTTCAGAGCAAGACGTTTTGCAGCATTTTCCTTTAAATGTTAATGAGCTCTGCTGACCACGCCCCTCTCTTCCGAGCCGCTCTTTGAGGGACTGTTTACTTTAGCCGCATTCATCGTGAAACTTGCTAATTAGCACATTATTAGGAAAGGCGATTTGCAAAGATTCATTACAAAACCTTATACTCAAAATATGTTTCATGTGGTTATGCTTAATATGGTTATTATGATTTAGCATGGTAGTTGTTTGGAAGAGTAAGCTTTTAGAATTTTGTTAAAAAATTATCGTAATGTGAGTCTAAAGTCGACAATTTAATCTAATTGTCTTAAATGAGTGACAGATTTTGATGCGTTCGGAAGACGTTTTTGCATATGTCTGCCGTGAAGGCTTTTTGATTTGCCATTTGGCTCACATTTGATACCATGACAGCAATCTCATTGAATTCTGGCACTTTTGCAGAGCACATGAGCCTCATAACTTTTCAGAAAAAGGCTTTGACTGACGTTTCTTGACTCCAGAGGTTTTTGAAATGTCAGGCTACCTAAAGATGTGTGCTGGAAAACAGAAGCGCAGATACGCGATGCTTGTCTTCAGCTCTGAGCTCAGATAGCCTGTTGGCCCTATGAGATACTGAGAACCCGCTTTGTCCGGGATCAGCGCTGCGCACGCCTCCCCTCAGATACGTGACCTCTGCCAACCCGAGGCAGATTTGACCTTGACCCTAATGTCAAGCAGAGCATATGTGACAGGGCTTGTTTCCCGCCGCTCCTGCTTCTGTGCCAGCCAGACTTCTGAGCGCAGAGGGCCAGCTGGCAGGAGACTTTAACACTTTCAGCCACCCAGAATCACCTGAATCCAATAGACCCCCCAATATCATCTACCATCTGTCACATACACACATAAACACACATATATCTGTTATCCCAGCAGTCTTTTTCTCTTTTGCCTTTTTTATTTAGTCTCTTTTATAATCCGACTTTACAGCCATTACATTTGTCAATTACTGAGACCTATTTTTACTCTATCCGACACCACCTCTCCATGTTTTTCTCCACAAAACCTCATTATTTTGAAATATTGATTGTTTTGCTTTTTTCTTTTGGGTTGCAATATAAAATATCGGTCTCTTATCTCCCCCCCCCCACGTCTCTCTCTCTCCACCCTTCTCTGTGCTGGCATTATAATGACTGAGCATCCAAGCTGCTCACACATGTTGTAGGTTCAGTCTTTATACTGGGTGACTCATTAAATATAGGCCTAAACTTACTCTGTTGAAGTACAATAGCTTGCATACTTCTAGCTGCATAAGCATAAGTTTGTGTATTGTTGAGATTCAAAATCTGTCGATGCAATTCATAACACAAGTACCCATTGCATTTCTCATCATTGCCACAGGGGGCGCTATATTGTGTGTCAGTGTAAACTGTTATTGCCTTCAGTTAGTTCCCTCTTTCAGGTCAGCTGCTGGAGAATCTTGCACTTAAAATCTTGCACTTAGAATGTAAATGTAGTTTTTTAAATTTAGTAATGTCGCTGCTTTTATTGTGTTTTTGGCTTTTTCTCCAAGTCAAGTCAAGTCACCTTTATTTATATAGCGCTTTTAACAATACAGATTGTGTCAAAGCAACTGTACAGCATTAATTAGGAAAATATTGTGTCAATAATGCAAAATTATAATAGTAAACACTAAATTTTCAGTTAAAGACAGTTCATCATTGAATTCAGCGATGTCATCATCCAGCTCAGTTCAGTTTAAATAGTATCTGTGCAATCAAGTCGACGATATCGCTGGAAATGAAGTGTCCCCAACTAAGCAAGCCAGAGGCGACAGCGGCAAGGAACCAAAACTCCCATCAGTGACAGAATGGAGAAAAAAACCTTGGGAGAAAACCAGGCTCAGTCGGTGGGGCCAGTTCTCCTCTGACCAGACGAAACCAGCAGTTCAGTTCCAGGCTGCAGCAAAGTCACATTGTGCAGAGGACTCAACTGAAGGAACTAGTGGCAGGTGATGAGACATGGTTGGCAAAAGAGGACAATCTATACTTTTGTCAAGGCATCCTCACTGTCCTCTTCGATATACCTACTGTGTCATTTTTCCTCTTTGGAGTGACTTGCTGTTGGGAGACCTGAGTAGATATGAATCTCATGAACAGTACTTGGTGACAACAAAGAAATTACCAAAAACAAGAGATACCAACTGTTACATAGAAAAGTGGTTTGGAATTGTCAAACATTCCATAATGCATAATGAAACAAAAGTCAAACCAGGAATATTCATAAGAAATATGCATGTCTCTACAAGCAAGATATATGGAGAATATAATTCAGCATAACCTTCCTCAAAAGCTATTGCTCCAACCTGAGCCACCTATGAACCTTGATCAGTCTCAAGAAACTTGGAAAAAAATCAAAATTCTATTCTGTTCCACCAAAAATACCTGTTCTTGTTATCGACAAGGATGTGACAGAGCAAGGAAAGTTCAAGTTTTGACGCATGTCAGGTTCCTGCAAAGGTACTCTATGTAGAGGAAGAGGTAATGACGTCATCACATTGTGCAGAGGACTCAACTGGTGCCTGTGGTCTTGTCCCGGTGACCACCATCAAAAAAATTGTTTGACACGTGCTGAGGTTACAAAACCAGCATTTTATTTGTAGAGAAGTATCGTGTGAACCAGTTTCATTCCCGAAGAACGGCCTGAGTTTGTTGGGCCAAATCGATATTTGAGCACCTTTGTTCAGCTTCCTTTTGCTTTTATTGTGTCTCGTAAACAAATCAATAGAGAAGAGCTGTGGTATAGAAACTGTGATCCATATAAATGGAGACAGGAGAACAAAGCTATCAGCAAATTATGCCAACAAGTTTGCATTAATGAAAACAGCCCATCAGTTCCCAAAAAGTAAACTAAATTTCTAGAGCTTTTTATCTGTTGTGAAGATATTTTGAAACATGAAGGATGTCTGATATTGAATTTCTCCACAAACCTGTGAGATGTTCGTGCCTTGAAGATTTTGATCAACTGTATATTAACATCTTTAATATTCCCTCAGGTGGCACAGACATCATTTCATGCTTCATGGGTCAGAACATGGCGGTGCCCGTTTACAGAGGGGAAATTCAGGCCCGAAATCTGGGCATGGCCGTGGAGTCCTGGAACTGTGAAGGTGAGATATAGCTCATGTTTATCTCTGATTTTATGGTCAAGACAATGGAGGTCGTCTTTTATTTCATTCTACTGTTTTTAATATAAAATTAATAGTTTTGGATGTGAAATCTGGTTTGATTAGATTCACATATGAAGTAGTTAAAATGTATATATATCGTCAAAGAATCCTGAAAAAAAAAAAAATATCATTGTTTGTGCAAAAATAGTAATCAGCATGATGTTTTCAACATTGGAAATAATATGAAATGTTCCTCTAAATCAGAATATTGGAATGATTTCTGAAAGATCATGTGACACTGAAGACTGAATGGCTGCTGAAAACTTAGCTTTGCCATCACAGGAATAAATTACATTTTAAAATATATTTATTAAATAGAAAAGCGTAGAATAAAAAAGTATCTCTAGTGTAGATTTATTATATAAATAATATATATTATTTAAAGCTTATATATTAACAATATCACCTACAATAATGCTGAGAACCTAATTTACCTGGCAGAATAATGATGAATTAACAAATGTAACTTCTTTTTTTTTTTGCTTCAATTTAACTATTTATTGCTTCAATAAACCTGTTGTGTTTGGTGTGTATTTCAGGTAAGCCTGTTTGGGGTGAGAGCGGGGAGCTGGTGTGTTTGAAGCCCATCCCGTGCCAGCCCACTCATTTCTGGAACGACGAGAACGGCAGCAAATACCACAAAGCCTACTTTTCTACCTTCCCAGGTAACCCTTCACATGACATCACCCTAGATCTCTTTGTCTCACTCTAGACGGGCAGCATTTAAGGCATTATAGGCATCATTCCAAAATGCATTGCTTCAGACTCATTGCCTATACTCACATTTGCCTATAGAGGCTCACAGATGCACTGTACTTCCTTCCTTCAAAGCTCTTATACTGTGAAGTGCTCACAGTGAAGTGTGTTTTCTATCCGATTTAGAAAGCAAACGATTCCTCACTTTGATTTGGAAAACAAACATGCCACTTCAGTGTGTTCAGAAGAGGCTGCAGCTTTTCCGCCGTATTGATTAAATGATTTCTGAGGGTGAAAAGGAAAAAAAAGAACCTGCCAGCTTTTGTTAGCACAAGAAAAATCTCCTTGAAGCCTCACTGCTGTCAGTTTGGAGAAGCAGGAAAAGGCCAATCGGGACAGTTCAGCCTCATTAGCGTCCTCTGCTTCTTTCTATAACTATTTGTCCAATCCATATATCTGTGTGTATCTCCTCATTCAGGACTCTGGGCCCACGGTGATTACTGTAAGATAAATCCAAAAACGGGAGGAGTCGTCATGCTGGGGAGAAGGTAAGTCTCGCTTTTTGTTCTGCTTTGTTTGATCATCTTCTCTAGTTTATGCTTAGATGCTTATAATCTTGCTGTTATTGTATGATGATACTGTGAGATTAGTATTGGTATAAACAGGGCTGTACAGTGCGACATATATGTCGCACGTGCTACGAAAAACCTGGTCTGTGCGATGAATAAATTTACCACTGTAGCACGCGTGCGATAGAGTTTTGCATGTTCATAACACAGCCGCTTAATAGTGTGAAGTGATTTCGTTGTGCTTGTTTGTGTGTGTGAGATATTTTAAAATAAATATACTCCTGTAATGCTAAGCCATTACTCCAGTCTTGAGTATCACATGATGCTTCAGAAATCATTCTAAAGTGCTGATTTTGGTGCTCAAGAAATGGTTTGAAAACTGGTTAATATTTTTTGTGGAAACTATGATTGATATCGGTCAATATCGGATGCATATCAGCTGATTTAAAAAATGTAATTGTGTATGTTTATTCCACCTATTTTTATGTTTAGATTACCTTTGCTCTCATTTAAAGCTCACTTAAAGTTAGTATTTAAAAACATTATAGTTTAATAACACCATGAAGTGTAATCTCATCTTTTGAAAAACTAAAAGAAACAAAAATTAATAATGTTCCATACTGTACGTTTTTTTTTTTAAGGTCATGCCATCAATTTTATTTTTAGTGACTTAATTTAAACAAAAGTTGTATAGAATTGTATCTAAATAATTACAAATGCCGATAATTATTTAGAATGTGCTAACATAATAGCAAGACAGCATTTAAGACCGTTGTTTTGCCCTCTGTTTAACCAGTGGAAGCCTTTGAGGAAGTTTCCGACAGCCTTTGTGTCCCTCAGTACAACAGTGATGGAGAGGAGAGGGTGATTCTGTTCCTGAAGATGGGACCCAATAAGAGCTTCAGTCAAGAGCTAGTGGGGAAGATCCGCAGCGCTATCAGAGTAGCTCTCTCTGCACGACACGTACCAGCCTTGATACTGGAGACCAAAGACATCCCGGTGAGCTCAATTTCCACGTTCGTTCTTTATGTAGCAATTCCTTCACTTGCTGTATTTTCTGTACTTTTCCACCTGATTGACTTCTCATTTCCTCTGCCTGCAGTACACTATCAGCGGAAAGAAGGTCGAAGTCGCAGTAAAGCAGGTGATCGCAGGTAAGGACGTCACTCAGCGAGGGGCCTTCTCAAACCCAGACTCCTTGGACCTCTACAAGAACCTACCTGAACTCCAGAACTTCTGAGCGCTTGCGTGAGGTACATCTGAACTCCGGAAAGTCCTACGTTTCTGGGTGCCTTCGAAGGGTTCAGATTCTCTGGACACCTGTTGGAGCTTTGGACCATCTGGAGGAATTTCTAGAGCTTTCAAACATCAAAGTTCTTAGTTTTCTCTGCCTGTTGTGGCACACTCGGCTACCTTTTGGAACTGATGGAGTCTGTACATGTAGCACTTCCTCAAAAGTGTAACTGGTTCCTCTTGGATCTCAAAGGATCTTATCTGCTTCTGTTATTGCGTCCACCAAGCGTTATATTTCCAAGAGACATACTGAACTCCCAAGTAATTCACAAATTATTTGTCTTTATCTACCATGTCAGTCCCATATCCTCCCTCTCATTTTTTGATACAATGTCACTTTAATCTTAATGAAGGTTTAGGAAAATCTGTCCGTGAATCTTTTGAAGCTCTAAAATGACACTTTATTCTCATAAATCTTCAGGAATCAAATACACAGATTTGTTACTGAACATTGTGGATTTAAGGTTATTTTTCTTGTGGTAAAGTTGGGAGCCATTTCTCTAGTAATACTGACTTTTTGGGTCAAACCAACTGCTAAGTTTCCAGTTTCCAGATTACGACCTGTTGCCGTAATAAAATCAATGCAACTTGTGTCAAATTTTCCCCTAAAGCCTGACTTCCTGTCTGGAAACATGAATATATTTATATTTTTAACAATATCCTATGAGTAAATGGCGATTCATCACATCTGCTGTATTTGTAGAGTATATTATAGTGTCCAGAACTACTCTCTGTTGTCTACTGAGTGTGGATTTGAACTGAAGCTGATGTAGCTCACTGGCCAAAAAGATTTCCATATATTTTTACATATATACTGTATATATTTGATTCCATATATGCAGCTGCATGTTGCGTGCTACACTAGCTTCCCCTCTTTCTCTGTCTCTTTCGGTGCGCCTTATATCAAGTTTTCATCAACAACTGAAGCTCATCTTATTTCTTTGAGCCATTCTTTGGTATACAGCTTTATCTTTGCAGTCCCCAAATACACTGGCTTACTTTTTTCATATTTCCCATCATCGGAACACTGCACACATATGAAAAAAGCTGCTTTGTTTGTTTGTTGTTTGAGGTTTTGGAAGTCAGCAAGACATGATATCCAGATTATATTAGATTATATAATGTTTGCATTAGGAGTAAAGGGAAGAATTCTGGGCAGTCGAAATGTATCTAAAACCACAACGAAAACTAGAAAATATTGATTTATGTTGGATCGGATTCAAGCTCTTTGACGTGTACTGATGATGCATTTACACTCGCTTTGTCGCATATCACAGAAACATTTATCAACAGCAAACCACCATCCAGAAAATGCTTTTTTTGTGACACTGAGAGAGGATATGCTGTAGCTGCTCGCATCAAAAGCTTGAAAATGTGCTGCGTTTTAATCCTTTTAAAATAATTTTGCGCTAGTAATGTTATTTCAGCAGTTGTTTACAACAGAGAAGCCTCACAGGCTAGTATTGATGTACATTTCAAGTTTTAATGGGTCATATTTTTGGGATAAGTTTGGGTTTTGTGCATGGGTCTGTTTGGTTCAGGTAATGTAATCTGGGTTTGTTACACGTTGGAAAATGAATTTTTAACCTGTGAGTAAATCCATTTGACCTCAGTGAGGACTCCTTACTTGGTTTCCTAAAAGAAACTACACGCTACAGATCTAAAAAAAATAATTTTTTTTATATACACGATAAAGGTTAGGCATAATGAAACTCAAAAGGGTGGACTGGCCCTTTAAAAAGCTCATTTCTTTCAAATGGAAATGGTTCAGAATAGAGGTGCAGATGGCAAGCAGTTGTGCAGATCGCCTGAATTAAATCAGTCCTTATTTCCGCTTCAGACAAGCAGGAACGGGTCTGTTTCACCTCATGGCCACCCTTGTGTCACCATATGCCCCATATCTGCTCAGTTTTGCTGACAGGACTTGCCTGGTCTGGGACTGTGGACATAAGGAAAGCTACCAAATCCTTATTTATTGATAGTCACTGTGGATTTCGCTGTAACCTATGACTTGTTGCAAACATATTTGTCCCCCAACATTTATTTAATTTTTCCACATTTAGCAATATCATGAACATTTCATGGAGATCTATTCCATTTTATTACCTTTTTTTCTGCTTCTTTTTGATACATGGAAATGGAAATACTGGAAATAATTGTCCTTATTATTGTATTACATGAAATGCATTTGGTGTACTACTAGTAAATGAAAGGTGCTTTCTTCTTGGTGGCTAATTAAGTATTCCTGCTTTGAAATAACATCATTGTACATCGCAGAATGTGAATAATGATTACTAATATAGTTGAGAATATATTTATGAATATATTATGCCCATATGCTGTATATCATTGGACCGCTTCAGTTATGTCCACTAGGAGCATACATGTATTTCATGTATAAAGATGCTTATTGTACTCCTAATTAAAGAACTAAAAAATAATTCTGGCCTGCCGTGTTTTTTTTTTTATCCTGCATGAATTTGCAGTATTAGTTTAATGCTTGTTTTAATTATTTGGATATCAAGCAGGATGATTAATCAGCTGATATTTGGCCATTTTGAGAGGTAACTCAGCACTCCATCCATCCATCCATCCATCCAAATATTGTGGATAATATTGATTAATAATGTATTTTGTTAAGATGATGAAAATACTCTTATGCAAAATTAAATTACAACAAAGTTATTACAACTTCATGAAGGCACAAACAAAAACAAAAGTGTCATTTACCAGCCTAACTGGTGGAACATGTGGAAGTTTTTTCAGATATGCAGACCTCAACAAAAGATATCCGAAGCTTTCTTTTTCAAAGTTTACAAGCCTATTTGTTTTTCTATCTGAACTATGCTTTGGTGCTTTTTATTATTAGCATTTAGCATTGTTTGTTCCCTGCCGTCCCTGTCCTTATTAGATCAGACCTCTAAGAATCCATTTAAAAACCCATATCGGTCCACCCCTAAGCATATTGAATTATGAAACATGAATTTGATGAAATTTATATAGAATAAGCATTTACATGTAATGGAAAATCGTATTCTGATAGCCTTCTGGAAGCAAGGTTTATTGCTGTTCTCTTGGACATAGAGTAAAATTAAAAGTACATTTTTTAACGGCCAGTCACGGCAGGATCCCAGAACTCCTCTCGAAAATAAAAGGTGCACTGAGACGCTGTGGCCGGCTCATTTTAAACCAGATTCATCTCACTCTCCACCCTGATGTTTTCAATGTGATGATCAAAATGAAATCCTATCTGTGAGAGAGAGAGAGAAAGAGAGACAGCCTGAACTTAAACGAAAGGTTTCAAAGATCAGGCAACACCATCCCCATATGAATGCTGTCATTTATAGTAAGAAAAGATGAGACAAATTTGTGCGGGTTCAATTTTGAGGCTCATTGAAGAAGGAAGGAAGAGGAGAGGGCCAGAGGTTCAGGTGCACAAGTGCGTGTGAAGTATTGTCACCCGTCTTCCTAGAGATGATTGAAATGTTCAGGCTTGTCTGTCAGCAAATTGCCTCTGCTCAACATGTAATCGGTCGACCGGTCACTCGCAGAGAGCGTTTTACATCTAAGTGTGAGTGCGTGTTTAAATGGAAGGGTAGGGGGTATTCATTTTGAAGCGGATGGAAAAAGGAGCCGGGGTCTGACAGAAACATGAACACAGAGGGGAGCGGCGAGATGAAGGACGTCACAGCATATTGGAAAAACCTTGTGATGTAGACACTGATTAAAAGCGCAATACAGAATATGTGAATACATATGAGCTCTGCTCCAAAACTCGGTGAACTTTCTACTGCCACCTTAAAAGGGAGCATCCTAACCATCATGGAACTTCATAATTGACCGATTTGAAATGCTCTACATCAGAATGCTCAAAGTAAATAGCTCTCTGCATGAGAGATTCAACTCAGTTTTACATTTTTATGTATGTGTGTGTGTGTGTGTATATGTGTATATATATATATAACCATTTGTGGCCAGCGGTTTAGACATTAATGGCTGTGTGTTGAGTTATTTTGAGGGGACAGCAAATGTACACTGTTATACAAGCTGTACACTCACTACTTTACATTGTAGCAAAGTGTCATTTCTTCAGTGTTGTCACATGAAAAGATATAATAAAATATTTACAAAAATGTGAGGGGTGTACTCACTTCTGTGAAATACTGTATATATGCATACACATATTTTTATGTATATATATATATATATATATATATACACACAATGTATTTATCTATATATATAGATACAATATACACACATATTTAATATATAGATCTATTACAATAATATTTTAATTAATAAAAATTATTATTACAGTAAATAATATAGATAATAGATCATGTATTATAGAAATTATAATTATAGAAATGCTGTATATACTGAATTTTTTATTGCTATTTAGGCACGTTCAAGTTTCTGTCCTTGTTTATACCTACTAGTTAAAATAACTAAAGTAGCTCTAGCATCATTTATTTGATTGATATTGGTGAGTATTTTTCATCAATATTTTATCTAATGGAGCAAAATGAATTTCAATGCTAATATTTTGGCATATTCCAAAAGTTGTGTCATGTATTCATTTCTGTTGAAAAGTTTGGGGTCAGTAGGATTTTTTTTTTTTTTTTTAATACTCACCAAGGATTCATTAAATTGATTAAAGTAAAGACATTTATGTTTTAAGATATCTATTTTAAATAAATGCTGTCCATTTTAACATTTTATTCACCAAAGAATTCTAAAAAAAAAAAGAGTCACAGTTTCCACAAAAATATTAAGCAGCACAATTGTTTTCAACACTGCTAAAAATAAATGTTTCTTATATATTCAACACATTAGATACTGTGACGCTAAAAACTGGAGTAATGGCTGCTAAAAATTCAGCTTTGCCATCATAGGAATTTATTACATTTTAACATGTTAAAAGTTATTTTAAATTGTAATTATTCAATAAATGCATTAAGCACAAGAGACTTCTTTCAAACACTTTAAAAATAAAATGAATGAATGAATCTTTCTAACCCCAAACTTTTGAACAGTATAATATAATATGTTATGGTTTTTGTATTGCTCTGGTTACATGTGATTATGAATAATGGGGCCAAATGTCAGTGTGCTCTGATCTGTATTCTTTGCGTGAGTTTGTTGATGTATGTTGATGACATGCATGTGCTGCAAACATCAAGCATTGGTTGTCAGGTCATCCGTGGGCAGGTGGTGTAGTTCACGTGTGTATGAGAGAAACAGATGAAAGTGGAGAGTTCCCGCTGGTGATGTAGTTGTGTCGAATAAAGAGCAGCCGAGTGCATTTTCCACTCCCATTACTTTCACTGTACAAAAGCCTGTAGCTGCTGCCGAGAGAACAGCCCCAAACCAGCATACACACACACACACACACTTACACAGACATGCAGCATTCAAAATTACACATGCAGCATCCTTATCACACATGCACATGCATGCATATATTGAGATGATGTCGAAACATATGGCAAATTTAAAATAAAAGTCATTTTAAAAGCCACATCATCACCACTCAGGCCACATCAAGGGCCACTCAAAAGTACCTTTTAAAATGCAATGGTAGCCATAATAGTCTTTTCAAAAACCCACTGAGAGCTGCCCGATATGCTTCATATTTCACTCTCCCTCTCACCTGGTCTTTGGTTAGTAGTTTACTTAAGAGCGCTCATGGAATGGGTCAAAAAGCAGGAAAGGAAAAGAGTTCACTCAAAAGTGAGAGGCCACAGCCACCGAATCCTGCAGAAGCACTGGAGAAATGTGATTAAAAGTGTGCCTTAGCTGTTGCTGTTGTATTTATACAATTCTAGAGTATTTTGCTTTGCATCGTTGAGAGCATTTTAAAGGAAAAGGAAAATTTGCTAAAAATGTACTCACACTCAGGCCATCCAAGATGTAGACGTGTTTGTTTCTTCATCGGAACAGATTTAGAGAAATGTAACATTACATCACAAGAGAAAACTGTCCAAAAGTGTTCTAAACAAATATGTAGGTTGGTTTTGGTTTGAGAGGAGAAAAGGGGATGGGCTTTTTCACCAGAGGAAGTGGTGTTATGGATCATGGACTATTTTGGCCAGAAGTGATGGTTTAAAGTTAAAACACCTTAATGATGGATTTGTTTTTTACAAACATGCAGCTTTTCACTTACTTGTGGATTATTGTAATGTTTTTCTCAGCTGTTTGGACATTCTGACATTGGTGAGCAAATGCCAAATTTCTTTAAATCTGTTTCGATGAAGAAACAAACACATCTACATCTTGGATGGCTTAAGGGTGAGTACATTTTCATTGTTGAGTAAACCATTCATTTAATATTCTTGTTAACGAGTTATATAAATAAATAATGGCTTAAAATTACCATGTTAACAATTGGGGGGAAACTGTACTAACAATTCAAGTTCACTAAGACCACAAATGTGTATTAATAAAGTAAATAAAGTGAATTTTGATGTCATGTTGAATAAAAATGGTCAAACCACTTACTGTTAGTAACCATATATTTGGTTTCAGCAGTTGTACCGTTTTCTACATTAACAGTATTTGCCTTTCAGCGTCTGATTAATGTTATCTATGTATTCACTCAGTTTGGTGGAAAAGCTCAAATAAATTAAGTCACTGTGTGCTGGTGGAGTTGGGAAATCATTCCTAAATCCGCTTTGCATTGGTGATGTTGCTGGCAGCAGTGTAATCCTCTCTGACAGACCCAGGTGTGGTCGAGCCAAAGCTGCTGAGGCCACAAACCTACAGATATTAACATACATATATATATATATGAAACTACTTGTGAGCATGGAATGTACACAAACACAAACCTCATCTTCCTGCTAACCTACACTTTCCCATGCAGACAAACGGACACATATATTGATTTTCTAACTTAGGCTATAACTAAAATAACATTTATGCATTTGGGAAACACTTTTATCCAAAGCAAATTAGATTGCATTTATGGTAGGATATATATTTTATCAGTATGCATTCCTTGGGAACTGAACCTATACCCTTGGTGTTGCTAGTGTCATACTTTATGGTTTGAGCTACAGTTAAATTTATACATGTTATATATGTTATATTGGAGGGCATGGTGATGGGAAAAAAATTTATATGGGAGAAAAAATATATATTTCAATGCTTTTCTGTTCCCCTAAAAAACTTTGCGATAGCTAACAAAACTTTTTGTGTTCCCCAAAGAAACTTTGTGATCGCTCATAAAACTTTTGCGTTCCCCAAGAAACTTCACGTTCACACATAAAATGTTTGTGTTCCCTGAGAAACTTTGCATTCACTCATAACACTTT